AAACGACATCCCAAGTTGACTTTACGTTGTCCAGTATCAACATCGCTTGGTCGAGCGATTGCGTTCAATGCTCACATCGTTCAAGAGTTTTTTGATTTGTACGAAAAAATCCGGCAATCACATCAATACACAGCGGCGACAGTGTGGAATATGGATGAAACAGGGCTAAATACTGTGTATAAAACGAAATACGTTATAGCTCAAAAAGGTCAGAGATGTGTATCAGCTATCAGTTCAGGTGAACGCGGTACCAACGTGACTCTCACAATGGCTGTTTCTGCCGCCGGCGAAAAAATTCCACCATTTTTCGTCTTTCCACGGGTTAATATGAAAGATAAATTCCTCCTGCACAGCAATGAGGATGCAAAGGGTGTTGCGAATGGATCAGGTTGGCAGACTGCTAACACTTTCTGTAAATTTTTACTTCATTTCAAACAACATGCCATTAAAGCAAGCACCAAAAGGACTTTGCTTATTCTCGATAATCATAAATCGCATATGGCCATTGAAGCATTGGAGTTTTGTAAGCAGAATAATATTGACCTGTTGACGCTGCCTCCACACACCAGTCACAAACTACAGCCACTAGATCGAGGTGTTTTCGGACCTTTAAAATCATATTACGCAAACCAATGCAATGCCTGGATGTTTAATCATCCCAGTATTCCAATTGCAATTGTAAATGTCGCTGAACTGGCTACAGAGCCAATCCTCAAAGGTGCCTCGTCGGTGAATATTATTAGTGGATTCAGAGCAACGGGAATTTGGCCATTTAACAGAAACATTTTTACAGAAGATGATTTCTTGGTCTCAACTGTGACTGATCGCCAAGATCAGTACGAAAACGTAGACAAAGCATCATTGTCTCATCCCATGTCACCTACGCTACCGCTTGAACCAGTAATTCAAGAGCCATCAATTTCGAATCCAATGAGTCCTTTAAATCAAGAACCTATGCAAGTTGATGTCAACCAAATCTCAGTTGAAGTTATTCGGCCGTTACCGAAAGCTGAAGCCCGAAAAGAAAGCAATCGTGGTCGCAAGCGTCGTAAGGCTGCCATTCTGACTGATCCACAGATGATTGAGACCATTCGTGTTGAACAAGAGGAAGTTGCTAAAAAAAAAGACGCCCTATCTGTCAAGAAGAAGTTAGCTGCAGAAAGAAAATTTGAAAAAGAGTTGTTAAAGCGACAAAAAGCTGCTGAGAAAACAAATAAAGAAGCAATAATCAAGATTGAACCAAAACGTAAACGCGGCCGTCCCTGTGTTGCTAAGGTTCCAAAAGACGAAGAAGATGACGAAGTGATTTTGAAATACCAAACAAAGCGTCGCCGTTAAAAAATAATTTGTTCTACAATCTCTTTTTCTTTTTGTAAATTTTTTCAGTTTTCTTTAAGTTTTATCTAACACATGACCAAAGAAATCTCTAGTTTATAGTGATGTCCACGAGACAAGATGATACCATGCAAAGTCTCGTCTCGTCTCGTTTTTTTTTCTTTTTTTTCCGCCTCGTCTCGTGGGCATCACTACTAGTTTATAGTTTTTTAAGTTTCTTATGTTCCTAATATTATATCTAATAAAATAAAATCGTTTATAATATATTCTCTGGTTTTTATTTCACTAATAAAGTGGTGCACTACATTGCCCCCCAAATTTTAGTATGTCGAAAAAAAGTACCTTCAGTTTTTTGGATATAGCAAAGCTCCATCAACATCTACAAAAAAATAATGTACACCGTAAATGTAGCTAGAAACATTGTCTTTCCAACGAGTCCTTATTGATCAAAATTGGTTGAAAATTGCGACCACAGGAGTCTTTGAAAGAAAAGTGCATATACATTACCCCCTTCTACTCTAGTAAAAAAGCACTGAAAAAATTTGCAAAATATAATAATGATCAAGATAAAGCCGGCATAGAATCAACTCAAAGTCTCTTGATCATCCCCCACTTGAGCCCCCCGGGAGATTCGCGAAACTACCTTTTCCTTAATATGCCTTTGAGATACAAAAAAGTTTTTGCTTAACTTAGACTACTAAATAAATATGTTTGTAGAATTTACTTTGACAAAAAGAAAATAGTATTTAATCAGGAATCCCTTTGTGAATCGTGCCAACTGGAAAAAGAGAGCTTATTTCATATTTTGAGCGACTGCCCAGCGTGCAATCACTTGCTGACCGATTATGTGGATTATAGCGGTAATAAAAATACTCCCTTTGAGAGCTGGATGAATCTTTTTGACTCCCATGTTTGTTTCCAAATAAAAAAATTTGTAAATACGCTCATCCGAATTTTCGCAGGACGTATACATGATTAAGGAAATTAAATTTCTGTTTTAAAAATTTTATTTAAAATAAAGACCACTAACGTGACTATTAAATTTTGTATTATTCTTTTAAAATAAGTGTATGTATGTATGAATCATGTATTGGAGTGTTAGTATTCGTATCTGTGTTCATCGACCGCAAATCTTATTTACTACGTATTATGTAGACAATCAGCGTTACTCCTTTGTATGCACTAAAAGTGATGTAAGCAAGGAAATAAACAAATAAGAAGGAAGACAGACTCGATTCTTCGACGACCTAGGGAGCAGGCTGCAGCGCTAAAACAGCAGTGTAAACCTGATGAGGAATGGTGCAATGAATTAGTCGAATACTATGACTGGGAAGATAAATGGGAAATGGCCTCAGAACTTCAAAAACAGTTTCGAGTCCAGATCGAAGAGGTGGAAAATACTAAAAAGACCTTACCAACCAAGATGACTACGAAAATACGAGCAAGGCGTTCAGTTCCACTATTGGGTTTCCTGGGAAAGATTGCAGGACCAATCGTTGGGGTATTGACCTACGATGACGGAGAAAGATATAGTGCTGCCATCCAAGATCTCAATGAAGCCCAGGGTAATTTATCACACCTTGTCGGAAAGCAAACCCATGTAGTGCGATCACAACTCGACTCGTTACACTCCCAAGTACAACAACATGGATCATTGCTCAGAAAACTACAGGAACAACTCCAAGCCTTACTCGAGAAGAACCAGCTGAAATCGAAGGAAGAGAGGGAAAGGCAGAATTTAACATATGCCATCGTCAAGGCATTAAGACTGGGTCTTGATCACATCATGCAGGCCACCACCACTATGTTAGAGGCAGTTTATGAAGCCAGGAAAGGATATCTACACACCGGCCTCATAACATCCGAACAACTGGAACCAATCCTGCGAGAAGTGCAGGATAACCTCAAAGATGTTCAGTTTCCATTGACCGGACCTAGGATCAGCATCGACGAACTGATGCGTATCCAGTGGCGGATTAACTAGGTAGGCAAGGTAGGCAGCTGCCTAGGGCGGCCAATTTTAGGGGCGGCAAATTTTAAAGGTTTACACTAGATATTTTGTTACTCGGATGATGTGAAATAGAATTTTTTATTCTAATATTCTAATATTTATTCTAATATTTATATTAGGATGCATTTATACGACTATAAGTAGAAAAACAATTTACCGAAAAAGTCAAAATCGCCTTCACAGTTTGCTTTTTCGATGTGATGGAAAAACTGTTTCTAGAGGGAATTTTAAATTTTATTTAAAATTAAATAACAGTGCTTTACACTACCTTTCACGAGTATCAGGACAATTACAAGCGACTCTATGAAAAAACATGCCATCACTTTTTTAATCATATCTCGTAAGTAAACGGAGATACAAAAAAAAACTTAAATACGGTTAGAAGGCTGATTAAATTTTGCGTAGAATAAGCCGTCTTTGAAGTCATTTCGTTAACTATTTTTTGAGCTGTAGAGTGAGAAAGAAATGAAAAAAATTTTCTCATTTTTCTCTCTTGACTTTAACTTTTTTAAAAATCTAAAAACCGGGACGGATTTATGCTAGGGAATAATAAATAATAATGTTTCACGAGTAATATAAATAAACTCAAAAGTTTATCGTTCCCCCGCATGAATTCGTCCCTGCTTTCTCTCTCATTCACAGCCGCGCAATCCAGAACCGAGTTGTCAGAGTTAAATAATTACACAGGTCAACAAAAAAAGACTTACTTTTTTTTATGAGATAGCGAAATGGTTTCCTATGTATTTTTGGACGCTGAACACGATCCCGACTTCCAAAATTGCCCATCACGTCAGGATTTTGAGAAAAGTGAGGGTAAAGACCCCAAAAACGCTTTTTTGAGGAATTTCAACATTTATTTTCTCTTCAACCTGACGTGCTAGAGACTTCCACAAGGTCTTAAATTAAAGCTTATAATGTGCACTAAAAGACCAATATCCATAAAATAAAAAAAAATAAAAATTTTTTTCAAAAAATGGGTTTGAAGACACCAAAAATTTGTGTTTTTGGATTGCTTTAATAGACTTTTTGCAATTGCTTGGATTCGCATGAAAATGGTTACTTGGGGCTTTTGGGGTCACTGATTACGAATCCGATATTAGTTTGCAAAAATTAAAAATGGCGGATTCGTAATCAGCGACCCAAAAAACCCTGAAATAACAATTTTCAAGCGAATCCAAGCAATTCTTAATTTTTACATCTGCCATCTTGGTTTCGCCGTTTTAAATTTTTGCAAACAAATATTGGATTCGTAATCAGCGACCCCAAAAACCCCAAGTACCCATTTTCAAGCGAATCCAAGCGATTGCAAGAAGTCTATTAAAGCAATCCAAAAACACAAATTTTTGGTGTCTTCAACCCCATTTTTAAAAAAAAATTTTAATTTTTTTTTATTTTATGGATATTGGTCTTGTAGTGCACATTACAAGCTTTAATTTAAGACCTTGTGGAAGTCTCTAGCACGTCAGGTTAAAGAGAAAAGAAATGTTGAAAATCCTCAAAAAAGCGTTTTTGGGGTCTTTACCCCCACTTTTCTCAAAATCCTGACGTGATGGTCAAATTTGGAAGTCGGGATCGTGTTCAGCGTCCAAAAATACATAGGAAACCATTCCGCTATCTCATAAAAAAAGTAAGTCTTTTTTTGTTGACCTGTGTTATGAGATACCAGGATATAAAGAAATATGGCCTCACACAGCTTGCAGAGACAATTGTTAAAGATGTACAGGAAATAGAAAATGGAATTGAATTACCCGACGGTAACGTTGCAATTGGAACTGCCTCAGCATTGTCAGGTGACACGTTAGGCATACAAATGTTTTGTGGTTTTAAAGAATCTTCTACTGCCCTGCATCCATGTAGATATTGTTTAGCTTCGCTCGAAGAAATACGAATTATGATTCGTGAAGAAGGTCAACGCTTGCGATCACCATCAACACATGACGAGCAAATAGAAAAAATTGAAACAGCCGCAACAGAAGAAGAGAAAAAAATACTATCCCAAGACTACGGCATAAATAGATCTTGTCTGCTACGCAAACTACTTGGTTTCCATCCTACAACTTCGACACCACCTGACATTTCTAACGATTTGTTTGCAGGCATAGTACTTTTACAAATAAAATTATTTTTAAATCGGTTTTGTATCAAAGAAAACTGGATAACTTTAGAGGATTTTAATCAACGAGTTGCCGACTTTGATTATGGTTATAGTGAGAAAAGTGCAATACCATCAGCAATAAAACTTGCACACATAAGTGGAAAAAATAATCTCAGACAAACCATTTCCCAATCGTGGATGTTAGCTGTTATTCTTCCATTTATTGTCCACGATAAAATGAACGATGAAAATATTCAGTACTTGGAAAATCATAATCAATTATTGGAAATCATAGCGATTGTTTGTTCTCATACAATTTCATTAGAGACATTAAGTTATCTAGAATCTTTAATTCCTTTGTACTTGGAAACTTACGCTCAAGTTTATGAAAATCCAGAATCAGCTGAAGGAAGAAAATTTATACCAAAGCAACATTTTTTAATACATTACCCGAGACTTATAAAAATTTTCGGGCCTTTGGTCCATTTTTGGACATTAAGATTTGAAGCAAAACATCAGTTCTTTAAAAAAATTGTTCAAGCCATGCGAAATTGGAAAAATGTGCCTATTACTTTGTCTCGAAAGCATCAATTGTGGCAAGCGCTACAATGGATTGCCTCTACGAATGTCGAAGAGATTTCACATGGACCAAAAAAGTGTTTAACAAAATCAAAAACTCTTTTTGGACATCTCTTTCCTTCAGAACAAACATTGTGGACAGTCAGCTGGGTTGAATTGAATCATGTAAAGTATACAGCAAACCAATGTTATATCCTAGTGGGATATGAAAATGGTCTATCTTTATTCGCAGAACTGCATAAAATAGTATCGAATAATAATAACCCAACATTCGTTTGTAAAAGTGTGCAAACGGTTCAGCTTGATATCCAACTAATGGCTTACGAAATAAAAACATCCCCTCACAGCACCGGGATATTCAGGATATCCCAGAGACGTCCTGGGGATATCGATTTGTTTTCGGAAGTTTGGATATCTCTGGGATATCCTAGGGACGTCCATGGATATCCAGAGGATAATCCAGGGATATCCAAACTTCCGAAAACAAATCGATATCCCCAGGACGTCTCTGGGATATCCTGAATATCCCGGTGCTGTGAGGGTCTCAAGAATATATTCTTCGTTCTCCAGATTCTCTAGCTTCGCATAATGTATTTCACCGTCATACATTAAATGAGAAAAATTATATTATTGTCAAGCAGCTATGGTTCGATTTACATTAGATTTTGTCGACTTTAAAAAATATGTAAAAGTTTGTGTATGACAGTATTCTTTAAATTTATTTCAAACGTTTATTTTTGTATAGGGGAGAGTGGGACAAAGGCGCTAGCTTTACATTTATCGATGTATATTTTTTAAATTAAGCAGTTAATTTATGCGGTCTTTGTTTTTCATTATTCTAAAACTAATCAACAAGAAATTTTAATAGTTGTTATTTTGTATATTATAATTATAAATACATTATTTAAAAAAATTTAAAAACAATGCAAAAAATGCCTTTGCCCCACAAGCTGGGGCAGCGACGTTTTCGCTTATATTTCTAAAAGAAAGCATTTATAAGCCTTAAAAAAATTAACAAGTGATATTTATTAGTATAATATTTACAAAATATAAGGTTAACAACATATTATTAAAAGAATTAAACTACTTAAATAAAAAATAAAAACTTTTAATGATTTTAACCTTATATTGTGAATTAATACATAGAAAATTTGAATATTCAATTGTTTTTAACCAAATTATGTTCAATATTGCCTTTGCCCCACGTAACAAACTTTTTTTTACTTTAAATTCAAAATATTTAGATACAAAATTAAACTAAAACACCACGCCAGTTGTGTAAAGAAATATTTAATTTATTTACATGTTACGGTTTGAAAAATTAAATACATAAACTTATGTTTTAAAAAATGAAAGTTTGTTCAGCAAAATTATCATTTTATTTTTGCAAAACAATTTTTTTGTTATATCTCTTAAAATATTTGATATTTTTAGGTTTTTTTTTTTTAATTAATTGGTCTGATTGCATTGCAACTTAATTTTTAATACCAATTGGAATAGACAGAAAAGAAAAGAGATATTTTAAAAAACGTCTTTGCCCCGCATAGCGCCTTTGCCCCACTCTCCCCTAAGAACTTTATAACAACGGGTGCACATGTATAATGACAAAAAAATGTAAATATTTAATAAATCAAAATTTTTTTTAAATGTGTATCATGAAAATTTACTTTTCTTTTTTTTTAAATATACTTCAAATTTTGTTAAAAAATTATAATTAAAGTACAAAATTGTGTAAGATATAATAGAATGTCAACATATTTCTGACTAAAGTTTTAAACTACTTTGCTAACTTTGCACAAAACTTATTTTTTCGGCCTTCTAAAAATAATAAATCTATTTTAGTTTTTTAGACCTGTAACTTCAGTTTTCCTTCACGAAAAATTTAATTACGTGATATGGCAAATTTTAAAAGCAATATTTACATTATTTGAGCAAAACAGAAAATATTCTCAAAAGTTGTAATTATACAAATAGAAATCTTGTAAATTCTTTTTTTTCAAAAGAAATTCAAAATATCTTAATCAAAATGTGATTAATAAAAAATTATTTTATTGAATTTTGTTTATAAGTTGTAATTGAGAAGGAGAAAAAATATTTTCTATCACCTAATCCTAATATTTTAAAATTTTTTGAATTGTTTTTAAGAAAGAAAAAAAAGCAGCGTAATTTTGATTTCTCAAACAATGAAGTTTTTTTAAATTAAAAAGGTAAATTTTTGCATGATTTATATTTCTACTTACCTAAAATAATAATTATTTATTTGTAGTTAGTAAATAATAATTATTAATTAATTTAATTATTATTATTATTAATAATAGTATAATAATAAATATAAAAACGCACATAAAATGTTTGTTCTAAAATGCTAATATTTTTAGAATCAAAAGAAAAAACTTAGCATAATTTCTGTTCTATGAGAGTTTATAATTTGTAATAATAAAAACATTCACAATTTTTTTAGATTAATATAATTTTTGTTTAATTATTTAAATATAAAAATAATGTTAAATTTAAAAAAATTATTAATTAAAATTAAATATTAAAAAATTAAAATTAATAATTTCTTCAAACATAATTGAAATGTGTTAAATACAATGTTATCAAATATTATATGTATAATAATAATTATTTACTAATTTTGTATGTATAATTGAATCATTAAAAATATTTTTTTTAAATTTAAAATAAAATAAAATTTTTTTTTAATTAACTTACCTATTACAAAATGTTTATCATGTTTTTGAAAGTATAAAAATGTTCTTCTATTTCTTTTTTATTAAGTTGAGTTTAATATTGGAATCTGAAAAATTCAGTTTTTAAGAAAAATATTTAGACTAAACATACAATAAAACACCTTGAGCGTTTACGAGATGCTCGCCCTAGGGCGCCCCGAGGCTACCAAAGGTTCTCAAAGTCACTTTTATTATCGTTTGTTTTCATATAAATAAAGAATAATAAAAGTGACTTTGAGAACCTTTGGTCGCCTTGGGGCGCCCTAGGGCGAGAATCTCGTAAACACCCCTTGTATATTTTAATTAAAAAAAAAAGTTTCTGAATTTAAATATTTTAATTTTTATAATAAAAATTTGTAACGTAACTGATAAATTTAAAAAGTTAAATATAATAGAAATTAACCTAACTAACGGAAAACATACATTACGAAATGTTTTTAATTACTTACATTTAATATATTTACTGCAAAAAATATTATTTTTAAATAATTTTAAAATATTTTAATGTTTATTTATAAATGAATTTAATAATTAAAAATTAAGTTATTTATAGTAATTAAAAAAATGGTGTAATAAATTTTTAAACTTTTAGCGGTATTTTATAAGTCTTTCGACAGTGGCTCTGTTGAATCCAATAAGTTTTGAGAAATATGGTTGGCACTAGTGGTATGTCAACAAGCATTTATAACCTAAAAATTTGATTTTCTTATTTGATAATTATAGGCAAAATATAAGTAAAATGAATATTATGTTACATCTCATATGTTATTTATGCAAAAACAATTAATATAAATATTGTTTTTTAAATAGTTAATCATTTTTACATTAAATTTACAGTTATTTATTACACTCATAATGAATATGATTTGTCTCATTATGAGTAATTTTTACGTAGTCTCAAAATGAGACAATGAGTCTCATTTTTGTTGCAACTCAAAATGAGTAGCGTACGCTACTTATTTTGAGACTAAGTTTTTTCTGTGCTGCGAGGGTAGGCAGTCTGCAGAGGTCTGAATGCTCCTTTAAAGAAAAAGTAGCCAATGGCGCTAAAAAGAACTCAAAGCGCTCTTGGACACCTTTTACAGATATCGATTTTTTTCACATAAAATAACTTCCAAATTACTTCTCATGATGTAATTTCTATTCTACACCTCATAAAGTATCGTTTAAAAAAAAAACTAAAATCAATTTTTTTCGGGTCAAAGGTGTCACTTCCCCTTAAATATTGTTGTTTCATCCTTATCCGATAATACGATAAAACAGTATACTAAGCCGATAAGGGATTGGACTCTTCATTGTACGACCCAGTAAAAAAAGGAGGATTGGAAGAGAGCGAATAGTACAGTAGGTTTCAATTATGCCTTCTTAGTTTGAACGTGTCGCACTCATATGTTTCCATGGGAACATATGAGTGCGACACGTTTATACTAGGAAGGCATTTTTGAAACCTACTGTACTAGCGGTAAGTTTCTGCCAATACGTTTTCGCGTGAAAATCGTATTGGGGTCATTCTGACAATCCTGCTTTTTCACCGTCAATTCTGTCCTCTTGAATCTTTCGATTTCACGTTTATTGACTCGATTTGGTATTTTAATCAAAAAGACTGATTGATTTAATCTGTAAAAATGCTGATAACGAACAGGAAATATAAAATTTTGTTAAAATGTAAATAAATGAAATTTGAAAAACTGTTGGTCTATTACCGTATGATTTAGAGTATTTTCTAGATTAGCGCTGTGACTCACATATACTCATAGAGCCCCTAGCGCGAACGTCGAAAGCTCCCTAAATCATGTGGTAATAGATTTACAGTACACATTCAAGTCGAGTCAATAAACGTGAAATCGAAAGATTAAAGAGGACAGGATTGACGGTGAAAAAGCAGGATTGGCAGAATGCACCCAATACGGTTTTCTCGCAAAAACGTATTGGCATAAACTCACCGCCAATACTATTCGCTCTCTTCCAATCCTGCTTTTTTTACTAGGGAGATTAAAATGCGATCGTTTCAAGTTCGACAAAAAATTGTTTTGTCATGGCTGTCTCAATTATTTAATGCTGGTGCTGCATACGGAACGCTAAATAATTGCAGATCAGCACTTTCCTTAATTATTGTTAAAATTGTATCGGACAGTCAGGTCATATCTAGATTTTTCAAAGTTATATTCTTGTTGCATTCGAGCTAGAAATCGCTCGTAAAAAATCGAGAAAAACGAGAATCTCGTTAAAATTACATGGAAAACAAATAAATACCTAAGTTCTGTCTTTTTTCTTTTATGAAGGAGAGATTCTCGAATGCAACTTGTGATGTTTCGTTCTTTTCTTCTCTATTTTCTTTAATTGAGTATAAGACACGAAGATGGTAAAGAAAATGACACAATTGATTTTAAATAAAAGTAATCAATTTTATTTAAACTTCTTCTTAGTGGTAGTTCACAATTTCAATATGTTTGGTGTAGACATCGAGATTCTGGTGTTGTGCGGTTAATTTCGAAGTTACTATGTAAAGTACGAGATTCTCGAAGGTAAGTGATGATTAGACTTATTCCATTAATTAAGACAGAGTCTAATTAATCCTAATCAGTCAAAAAATAAATAAAAAAAATAAAAAATTTTCTTTATCGAAGATACATAATATAAGACTTTCGTAACAATCTAAAATAAAACTAAACTTGTGACTAATCTTTCACTTTTTTTATACGTTCGTTTATTAAGGCTCAGGTGAGTAAACTAAAATTTATTTGCATAATGATATTAAACTAATTTTTGTTTCTTTTCAGATGAGTAAGGCGATTTACATTCCTTTTCAAACTCTTTGGTAAGCAAAATAAACTAAACTTTGATTTCTATAATAAAACTAATTTTTCTTTCTTTCAAGTAATGGGTAATACGATTCATAAAATGTAATTAACAGGTGATTGAATGGTTAGAAGACAACGAGCTTAATATGGTTCTCTATTAGATGGGAGATAATGCGACGCACTGGGTTAAATTCCACAGGTAAATGAAATTAAACTTGATTTTAAAATTCGAATTGGTTCCCTCTATCTACCGAGAGGTGGCTTCGCGTTTCACTATTCTGAGGTATGTTCTTATGTTCAGGGGAATCACTCGCGATCAACGGCAGCTGAGGTAGCGTGCACCGTAGGTAAGTTTATCTTCAGAGTCACTCGCGTATCGACGGCAGCTAGCGCAACGTGCAGCGTGGGTAAGTTTATCATCAGAGTTACTCGCGTATCGACGGCAGCTAGCGCAGCGTGCACCGTCGGTAAGTTCTCGACACTCGCGGTTTAACGGCAGCTACACCTTCTCCGACGCCGAGGTGGCGGTCTCAAAGAAGATGCCTCACGTACCTGGTTACCACTGGGTGCTGGGGTTGAGCTGCTTGGCTGAACTGCTTGGCTGATCTCTCTGACTGTTTCCTTCCGAGTGGTTGGAGAGTTGATGCCGCACTGCCTTCTGTCCACTCGCCGGGGAGTTTATATAAGGCGCTTGGGATAAGTCACTCGCGAGAGAACCGAGGGTCTATTCTCTTGGACTAACTACTGGACGTCCGACACTTAAAGTCTCTTAGTAGTAGTGCTCAATGTGATGGCATCCCTATTTCGCTTCATCACAAACTCTACATATTCAGGTCTAGGCAAATTTTTTTTGAAATTCCTCTTATTAATCTATAATCTTACAAAAATCCATTTTTTGAAAAATATTTGGTAAAAAAATTTATCTTCGTGCTGACAAGATGTAACAAGAATTTCAAATTTTTTTTAGCTGAGGCAGATTTTGAATGCTTACACCGCTAGGTCCTTTATAGTAAATGGTTTTATGTCAAATGACTATTATGTCAAATAAGATTTCGGGAATAGTCATGCGTCTCCTTTCAGACATTCCTTAATCGCGGCTTCGGCTGCTTGTCGCTGTGCCTCCTCTTCTGGAATTACGAGTTGTGGCGTTTCTCCCGAGACATAGGTCCATGAGTCATTTTTAATGAACAGAGCTTCAGCCTGTATCCTCCATGTGTCATAATTGTGTCTCGACAACATTTCGATCCATATGGGATTCATGCTTCCGCCGTTCGCCATTTTCGAACGAAGTGAGGTTATGCGATAACACTTTTGGAACTATTTTGATTACAGATGGAGACGACACTCCCGGAGTTACTTTCGTGATTATCGAATTATAATACGATTTTCGCGGAGCCTGAGCCCATAACATGATAGGAAATTAAATAGTAAAACTTAATTTCATATTAGGAACAATTTATTTGAACTTACTAGAAACGAGGCTTTACAAGTACTAAGAGATAAGAAATTGCAAAAGGCGCCTATTTTAGGCGACATCCTAATTCTTCTTTGAATTGACATAATTATTATGAAGCGAAAGCATTTGTTTTATAAAAGTTTCAAAGATTTGACACATTTTAAAATTTGCGGACTGTCGTACTAACCGAAATTTGAATAAATAAATTTTCGTTTTCGATGTGTCATGTTCTTCAAATCAAACAACTAAACGTCATTTTTTCAAGTCAAATCCGAGGTATCATGTTTTTACACCCAGCAAGCGAATTATTGCAAACCGTAGTTTTATTTTCAGGATTTAATTTTGCAAATCTTGATACCTTTCTGCTTACGTATCCAGCAACATACCTAATGGCATACTCCGATGCTTCCGAACTCGAATAGTCGTGTTCTTTTAACCCCTTGACTGCCGATGGCAAAGATCTTTCCCATTTCGGACTATGCTCTGAATGCAGGAAAAATTACGAATCTGATGTCGGTTTTTCAAAATTCAAATAGCGGATCCAATATGGAGAACGGCTTTTTTAAAAATCGATCCAATGTACCTGAAATTTGTTACTTGGGGGGTTTCGGGGTTGCTAATTACGAATGTAATGTCGATTTTTCAAAACTCAAAATGTCGGATCCAATATGGCGGACGACTTTTTTAAAAACTGATCCAATTTACCTGAAATTTGTTACTCGGGGGTTTTTGGGGTTGCTGATTACCAAGCTGATGTCGGTTTTTCAAAATTCAAAATGGCGAATCCACTATGGATTCGATTTTTTTTAAAATTCGACCCAACTTACTTAAATTTGTTACTTAGGGGTTTTCAGGGTTGCTAATTACGAATCTAATGCCGATTTTTTAAATTTAAAATGGCGGCTCCAATATGGCGGACGAATTTTTTAAAAATCGACTAATATAACATCTCCAGAATGCACCCCTCAAACTGATGTCAGATTGGGTTCGAGGAGGTTGACAATAAGATTTAACATCCCACTTTTTTTACTTTTGTATTTTTTTCTATTTTCTATTTTTTAAATTCTTTTAATCTTTTATATTATTTAATTTGCGTAATTAATATAAACAAGCTTATAAACATGTATTAAAATCATTTATAAACGTTAAAAAGTGCACAAAGTGAATGAATAAAGGATAACTCTAAAATCAAGATTTATGATAAATTTCAAAACAATCATTGTCAACGTCCTTCAACCTAATTTGACATAAGTTTGGGAAGTGCATCCTGGAAACTTATGTTATTTATAAATATACTAGCTGATGATACAGGTTATAAGATGTTCACGAAAAAGTTAAACTGAGAAACTTAAAAATCACCTATACATTTCAACATATTTCAAATATCGTTATTTTTTAATATTATTTCATATTATAAAAATAATAACTATTTTTAAGTTATATTGATTAATTTTTTAAAAAAGTCGTCCGACATATTGCATCCACCACTTTGAATTTTGTAAAACCGTCATCAGATTCTTAATCAGCAACCCTGAAAACCCTCGAGTAACAAATTTCAGGTGCATTGGATCAATTTTTAAAAAGCCGTCCTCCATATTAGATCCGCCATTTTGAATTTTAAAAAACCGTTGTCAGATTCTTAATCAGCGACCCCGAAAACCCCCGAGTAACAAATTTCAAGTACATTGGATCAATTTTTAAAGAAGCCGTTTGCCATATTAGATCCGTCATTTTGAATTTTGAAAAACCGACATCAGATTCTTAATCAGTGACTCCGAAAACTCCTGAGTAACCAGTTTCAGACAAAATTGATGATTTTTTATTTATTGCATTCTGGGCACATTCAATGTTTTTCAGCCGGTAGTTAAGCAGTTACTCGGTGCGTTTTTGAGAGCTAAAGCATGGCTTAGCTTCAAGCAGTAGTTTTACTATAGTAAAGGTTACTTTCTCGTCCTTAGGACGGTAAAACTGCTGCTTGAAGTAAAGGCATAGTTTGCGTCTCAAAAACGCGCCGAGAAAGCGGGGATTACATGCTCGTTTTGTATAAAGTACTTATATTATTAAATTTCAACACCAATTTGTTTTTAAAACAAATTAACTTTTTAAACTTTTAATTCATTCTTAAAATATTAAATTCTATAAACTCATTAGATTGGCTTGAAACTTGTTATTCGGGGGTTTTTAGGGTTGCTGATTATAACTCTAAAATCCAATTTTAAAAATTCAAAATGGTTATTGGTATTATAATTATTAATATTAATTTTAAACTGTCTATTTAATTATGCCACAAATATAAAAAACATATATTTTATAATTTAGTTCATTAAACTAAACAGTTATAAAAATTATAATTTTTAAATTAATTTATTACAACATTTATTACAATCTTTTGAATTCAGTTAATTAAAAACAATTGTGATGACGGTTCTTTGGGAGATTTTGAAAAATGTGCCTGTGAACAGAGAAACATTTGTTAGAAAATGATTGTTTACCAATTTTACGTGCCTGTGAAGAGACAAATTTTAATTACCCTTCTTAAAGTGCAATAAACTATGCTATTACTTTATAATTGATTTTAGTCACTTTCTTATCCATTCATCCTTTATGAAATATTTTATTATTTTCAAACAGTGGTTTACAGCTGGGACGTTTCACGTCAAACGGCCCAAAGCTGTGCCCAAAATTGTATGCAATCAAAATACAAGTTATGCACATGAAAATACTCGTCATGACATCCCCTTTCAATTGCAAAGTGGCACAATTAAAAATTCAAAATGGCGTCCTTACTATGTCAATTAGAAGAGGCTAAACTCGAAAATAAGTAAATATATTTATTAATTACTTTTAAAAAACGATGCACAAATATTTGGTCAAAATAGATTTTAATGTTTTTGGGGTCGCTGATTACGAATCTGATGTCAGATTTTCAAAATTTAAAATGGCGGATCCAATATGGCTGACGAATTTAAAAAAAATTCTTGAATTCCCTTGAAACTTTTTACTCGGGTTTTTTACGGTCGCTGATTACGAATCTGAAGTCAGATTTTCAAAATTCAAAATGTCGGATCCAATATGGCAGGCGAATTGTAAAAAATTTCTTGAATTCGCTTGACACTTTTTACTCGGGGGTTTTTGGGGTCGCTGATTACGAATCTGAAGTCAGATTTTCAAAATTCAAAATAGCAGATCCAATATGGCGGACGAATTTTAAAAAATTTCTTAAATTCGCTTGAAACTTTTTACTCGGGGGTTTTTGGGGTCACTTATTACGAATCTAAAGTCAGATTTTCAAAATTCAAAATGGCGGGTCTAATATGGCAAGCGAATGGTAAAAAATTTCTTGAATTCGCTTGACACTTTTTACTCGGGGGTTTTCGAGGTCGCTGATTACGAATCTGAAGTTCAATTTGCAAAATTCAAAATGGCGGGTATAATATGGCTTTGAAAAAGTCCGATAAAAATAATTTTGCAATGCGGGACGATTGGGTGGCCTTGCAAAAGGCCGATCGATATAATATTGCAATGCGCAATAATTTTGTGGTCTTTCAAAAAGCCGATTGATATAATATTGCAATGCGCAGATATTAAGTGGCCTTGAAAAAGGCCGATTGATATTGTTCGGTGCGAATGTGAGTAACTCATAATAATAAGACGAAAAGGTATAGAGCAGAGTGATGGTGGGGAGAGAAAATGTAAAGTCTTATT